ATTCATTGGTTTCTTTTTTACTAGACTTGTGAAGGAGGAATCTGTAGTCGCAGTAAAGACTGCATCGCTTGTACCAAGTTTGAAAACAAGGGTCTGGAAGATTGCAAAAAACTTAATCGATGTGAGGCGGTCATTCAAACCGTTGAGACAATAGATGATATTGACACCTATACAGGTAATCAGCTGCTAAAGTAGACCCTTACTATTCTAACAGCCATGAATTTCAGGGGCGTAACCAGGGGAGTCCAACCCCCCCCCCCCCCCCCCCCCCCCCCCCCCCCCCCCCCCCCATCCTCTCGCTGTAGAAAACTTAACATCTAGGTAATCACGTGATAAAAATCGGCTACAAATCCTGGCTACACCCCTGAACATTATTTACTTTGCTGATGTCATTTAATGCTGAATTGAGGTTAACCCTGAGTAAATGAGTCTGTAATGAAGGAACGCAGCGGAACTTCGTAYGAATTCGAAAAAGATACTAACCTCGTTGCTGTTTTTCTGGTTACCGCAGACCAAGGACTGTATCGGTGCGAAGGCACAAATGRCAAGTGTACGTACTACTTTACATACAGGAAGAGAGCTGACGGCAAAACTTATGACCTCTATATCCAAGACAAGCAAGGTTAGTTGACAGGTGTAGAGCCGAAGATTACAAAATACAGTGATGCCTCAATCAAGGGGGCAGACACCCTTTATTAAGCGGACAGCATGTCAGTTGCACAATCTCGAACTTTTCTTTCCATCTTTACTGTAAAACAAACGTCAATTTATGGGTAGCAAGGGTGGGCTGTGCTCGCTTACCTTTCTTACCTATGGTAACTAAAGATGCGCTTGTTCAAGACCTGTACCTTATATGAGTTGAGTTTGTTTGGCGTTTTGTTATCGCCCTTTTCATAAGGGTTTTTCGCCGGGTTCTCTAGTTTTCCTCACTCCGTAAAAATCTAGATCTGAGCTATAAGCTATTCCATTATCCGCACTTTATATATTTAATCAGCAACCTTTGCATACTGGCGTCCTCCCCCCCCTGCTCTGGCGTCGCATTTTTATCGTAATACATTTTATATCAACTTATTTCAGAGTGTCCTGAACCTGCACCAATCCTTACAATCGTACTGGGTGTAGTAGGGGGTATACTACTCATTGGACTAGTCTTGCTGGTCATTGGAAAGATTCTTGTGTCGATGGCGGTAAGTTTGTCGTAGTTTATAGGRATGTCGCGTATGCCATATTAGCGACCTTAAGATTTGCAAAATCAACGACGTCAACCGGAAGTGTAAAAAACTTCACTTTGTGGTGTCGTGTCTTCCCTCTGGATGAGTTGACTTTACTGGCAATTGTTTTGAATGAAATCCCCAATGAACAGAACCCCTCCCCCCACCCAAATAAAAATTATTTACACTTCAGCTTGACGTCTCCGTTGTAGATTTTACAAATCTTAAGATCGCTATTGTGAGGCAAAGGGATGGAAGGATTTTTCAAAATTTTGGTTCTCTTCCTTTTCGTTCGAATTCTTTATTTTTTAAAGCATATTTATTCATTTATTTTTTTTTTTGTAGGTTTTTTTTTTGTTTGTTTTGGGGGGGGGGGGGGGGGGGGTATTTGGTGGGGGTATTTCTGTGGTTCAGTTGGTTGATTCGTTTATTGGTTTACTTTTATAATATAGGATCGTATTGAGTATAAGAAATTCGAAAGAGATCGTATGAACGCAAAATGGCACAAGGTAAGTTATATACTTCTTGTTATCAACACAGAATCAGGACCATTATCAATTATAACATAGCCACGCTATAACACGCGCTGTGATTGGTTAATTACCGTGCGCGTGCATGCATCCAGAATTGGATGGTGCACGCTGACATGATTGAGTAGCGCGCGCTATGTAATGAAGATTTCGTTAGAACAAAATTTAATCTTTTTTTTTTTTGTTTTGTTTTTATTTATTTATTTATTTTTTGTTGTTTTTGTTTGATAAACAAATATTTTTTACGGTTTTGCTATGTTAGAAAAGCAATGGTCAGTGGTTAGTTGTGCGTATATCCAGTCTGGATGCACTTAGGAGGTTGCTTAAGCACTCAAATTTCATCATCAAATTTAAATCAGTAGATATGAATATTCAATTAAAAATCGTAGGGTAAAAGCTGCAAACCTCGTAAATATTTGTGATCCAAGATCCAGTTATTCGATTTTCATTCCAGTCCATAAATGCACGATTCTAGATTTTCCTAAATACTAAACCTCTAATAATTCCGTATTTTAAAGCATAATTCCAATTTCAGAGGTTGACCCTATTTTTGTTATACATTGAAATTATCCTTATATTTTCAAAAGCTGAAATTTTTTTTGCGATCCACAATCCAGTTAACCGACGTCCAGTCCAGTCCAGTTTATCAATATTCGACTTCGGATTTTTTTTTTTTTTTTTTTTCACAATAAAAACGTCTCAAAATTTAATACTTGAAGAATAAATAACATTTTAGATGCTGGGCATGTTTGTCCATATTTTTTCAAAAACTGAATATTCGACGACCTTTTTTGCGATCCGACATCCAGTCCAAACCTTTCCCCTACACCATTCCAGATTTTACAAAATAAAGAAATCTCTTAAAATGTAGAATTCAGTAACAACAATTAAGTTTTAGAGTCTTAGCTCATATTAGAATATAAATTTTTCTTTTTTTTTCTTCTTTTCTTTTAGGAAAAAAACCCACTGTACAAAGAAGCCAAGACGACGTTCGAAAATCCCACTTATGCAGGACGTTGAGATCATTTTGTACAACCCACACATTTCACACACACAAGCATAGCAGAACCAAACATTCCCTACATAAAGTATTCAAGTGATTTTGACCTTCCACTGTCGTTGAACGAGCCCGCGTTCTTTTTGCTCAGTTAATTGCCAAGAAACGAGGGACCTAGGACGAGTCCAACTTTCTCATGTTTTGATTGGCTGATCAACTGATTTGAAGACGACAAAACAAAGGAACTGGGTCTAAAATTTTCTAGTCGCTCTGGGGCTATGTTTAATGGCAACGGCTAAAAGGATTGCGGGCTCTAGGGATGAGGATGGTTGTGTTCACTGCCGCACCTGCGGTGCGCGATATGTTGCTATGACGACCAAGCTACAACAGATAATTACATTTAATTTAAAAACTAAAGTAACATCGAATTGTACTTTATGTAAAAACAATCTTAATGGACCTTCTTTTTGTAGTTGGTTTTCTTGAGGTTTTATGTTACGTTTTGCATCCATCCATTAGATACTGCTTTACATGAAGTAGTAATCTTAGAGGAATTTTTTTAAAAACTTGCTTCTAATCGTTTTGAATAAGCATAGTAACCAAGCCTGTTAAGAAGGAGAGGCGGCAATCTGTATATCCGAATTCTATCGCACGTAGTGCATTCTGGGCTCGCCTGCTCACCTTCTGCAAAAATTAACAAATTTTACTGAACTATGTATTGGATTCAGTGGAGTAATAGACATTATTATATGAAAGTGCCACGGCCAAATCCCAATTCATACTTTTACTTGTACCCAAGCTAGTCCAGAATGCACCTTGCTCATCTAACTAAGATTATAGCTGTCCAATGACGTACGAATACAGATCAGTCATCCATTGGTTAGGGAAACAATATACAAGATGCATCATTTATTATCCCTGCACATCTGAATAAATAACTCGATATGAATGTTTTAATAAGACCAGATATTGTTAGGTAGTTAAATTGGCGCTCGTGTCCTTTCGTAAGCAAACATTCAATTTAAATGTCAAAATTTAGTTTTTACTTTGTTTCGTCTGTAAATATTTCTGTTCATATTTTCTCTTATAATAGCGATATTCATTGTATACAAACATTGACGTCAGGAATCTTTTTTCATTCAAATTTGCCAACCAAGGTTTAGGTAGCCGATAGAACTCTTGTTGGCACATTAATATCAATAGATGACGTCTGCGCAAACTTCGTTAAAGGTTTCATCGAACGTCAAACATCTTCTGGATTTTTATTCAAATTATGTATTATTTTAATATTATGTTTTTAATTTGAGATATTTTGTTGCTGTCTCGTTGTCAGCTCTCGATTGGTTCGTTGAGCATAAAGACCTCCTCAGCTAGGGCGTAATGTTGTCCCATTTCAGACAACGTGTCATTCCCTAGAGTATCCTTCCTTTGTTTAATGGTTGCGCTCGGTTGCACAATGAGAGGACACATGAATATGGATAGAATCTCATTCACAAGGGAATGACACGTGGTCTGAAATGGGACAACCTCACGCCCAAGCCGAGGAGGTCTATCAAATTAAGCGCAAAAAAATCCCCAGTGGGTGGTACAGGAGAGTTAATGTTAAAGGGATTGCGGTTAGTGGTATTTGCACAAGATGAATAAATAAACAACGAATATTCTAAATATATGACCAGATAAACAATACAATTTGGAAGTAAACACGAAAAATCTATGGCTATTTCTTGGTATTGCAAGCACCTGTAGTATAATGCAATAAAGCAATAACCAAAAATAATGAATCGGGAGCTAAACGATACCCTGCAAAACAAAAACGCTAAGCCAGAATACAATAATGCTTGCTTCGCCAAGAAAGACCCCGTTGTTGTCGTTCAACAGCAAATATTATTTTTCTTGTTTTGATGTTTTGATATAAGACGGTGATATCTGCCATCTTTCAAATATCTAAGATGTAATATTAATTTTCAAGTGCTTGTTTGCTCACGTTAAAGTTAAGACCCTTGTTTTGTTTTTTAGCCAGCCGAGAAGTGTTTATCACATTTTCTTTTTCTTTTCTTGTTTGTTTGCGGTTTTTGAAGCACTCTTACACGCTTACGATGTTGGTTTTAAAGAACGACTTATTATTGTTGTTGTTCTTCTCCTCTTCATCGTTCTCGTTCTTCTCCTTCTCRTACTCCTTTTCCTTTTTTCAACTCCTTTTTTTGTTTGTTTGCGGTTTTTGAAGCACTYTTAYWCGCTTACGATGTTGGTTTTAAAGAACGACTTATTATTGTTGTTGTTCTTCTCCTCTTCATCGTTCTCGTTCTTCTTCTTCTCCTTCTCCTATTCCTTTTCCTTTTTTCATCTCCTTTTCTTGTTTGTTTGCGGTTTTTAAAGCACTCTTACACGCTTACGATGTTGGTTTTAAAGAATGACTTATTATTGTTGTTGTTCTTATCCTCTTCCTCGTTCTCGTTATTCTCGTACTCCTTTTCCTTTTTTCATCTCCTTTTCTTGTTTGTTTGCGGTTTTTGAAGCACTCTTATTAAACTCATTAATAATTCATGAGGGAAACAACGGAAATCACGACCGTGAAGAGTGTTGTAAATCAGATACAGAATCCTGTTCATTTGCATAAACTTTAAGATGGATTTTCTTGGGCCAGATTCATTTTTATCTTGAAAATTTTAGCCAAACACAAAGGCACTAACCTAGACGTTTGACAACTAATCTACATTATTCGTGTCCGTGTTGTATCCAATATACAAACTCTCGGCTACGCCTTACAACACGGCCACTCATACTGTATATATTAGGCCCCGTCCACAAGTATCTGGAAATTTTTGTATCCGCAAATTATTTTTTGCGGATACGAAAATGTTTGCGTCCACACGCAGCGTATTCGAATCGTTTTCACCGTCCAYACGTATCCGTTTTCGTAAAATTTGCGGATACGGACACAAAAATTTGCGGACACKTGTGGACGCAACCCGTATCTGTAAAAAATAATTTGCGGATACAAAAATTTCCGGATACGTGTGGACGGGGCCTAAATCAGATACAGAATCCTGTTCATTTGCATAAACTTTAAGATGGATTTTCTTGGCCAGATTCACTTTTATCTTGAAAATTTTAGTTAAACACAAAGGAACTAACCTAGACGGCTACGCCTCGAGTTTGTATATTGGATACAACACGGCCAATCATACTGTATATATTACTTACACGCTTACGATGTTGGTTTTAAAGAATTACTTTATTTTTATTTTATCTTTATTTATTTTTTCTTATCCTATTCCTCGTTCTCGTTCTTCTCCTTCTCCTTTTCCTTTTTTCATCTCCTCCTCTCTCCCCTTTACAATTGATAAACTCCTACATTCTTTCGTAGAAAAAAATATTTTTCTAAAACCACGCACACATTGTGTTGAAATGACAATATTGACTTGAAATTGAAAAATCCAACTTGTTATTTTTCAATTTAAAACACTTAATTTTCTCCACTTCTAGCACATTTGCTAATGTTTTTGAAGGCGGACGCAAACGTCAACATTAAACTTATAAGTCGCTCATTCTTATCCCACAAACGTCACAACGCCCACCAAAAATGTTCAGTTTATCTCCGTGTTTCATGTGATTACGAAAAACAAAAACTTCCCAGCGATTATCTTATTGAAGAGAATCTGTGTCATTTGTCATGTTAATCCGATACAGCTTATCAAAGTATATTTCAGTGAAAATTATTATTCGAACTGTAACTCTATGAATTGGTAGTGAACGATTCAAAGAGAGAAAGGAAAGGAAAGGCGCTTATTCGGCAGAAGAAGGTCTTAAAACTTTGCTTTGTGATTTTTATTCTTTATTTCTTTATATCGGCTTTGCAACCTTCCTTTTTCAAAATATGATCTATTCTACAAGGTATTTAATTTATTTTAGCATATTATAATGTATCTTCTATCCATCCCAGCTTTTATCTTAGAAGAACGTAAAATGAGACATCTTATTAGTTTTTTCATAAAACCGTTTACTAACTTTTATTATCACACTTTAATCTTAGACTTTATGAAGTAAATTACTGTATGTCTCGAGTATAGGTCAGTAGCAACAGCTCTGTAAATAGAGGTCAACGATGTTCAAAAATGATGAAGAATTTCGTGTCATTGGCAATGAAAACAGCTGCCATATTGAACTTCGTTGAATTTTGTAAACACTAACTTCAATATTAAAATTGAAGGTGTTTTTCTCGAGTATCACTCGATATAACGCTTGAAAATAGTTGTTTTGGTTTTTACAAGGTACTTATTTGTTAAAAATGGTAAAAARGCTAAGCGTTTCAAGTAACGCAGTCAATCTTTACGCTTTCTCACCCTCTCGACAAAGGTGTATACAATTTAAATGGCTTTCAGGTTTTTGCACCTGCTTCCTTGGTCGTGTAGACAAGGGGATTCACTAGTTTTGATTAGTATGCTTTTAGGTCATAATAGAATATTTCTCATGTGCCTTTTGATTCAAAAAACTCAAAAAATAAAGACGAGCAATTGAATTTCTTCGAATTATCATTTTAATGATTTCCTATTGCCTACCCACCTGACATAATTTTTCAAATTTCCTTGAAGCAAAATGTGAGATATTATTTATTATTTTTACTTTCGAAAACGATATTTTATTCGCAAATTAAAAACCCTATTGAGTATTTATAAACTGAATTTTTTTTTATAAGTTATAAATTCCCTTTTACCCTTAAAACAAAAACCATTTTGAGAAACATTGCTCGGGCAATAATTTCAACTTTTCCCCAAAATYTTTATCAACTTAGCTTACAAATTTTTACTGCTATATGACTTAGGTCTCTGAATATTCAAATCCTTTGTTGTCTTTACTTTCATCTTCATTTTGATGAAAGCTCTCCTCTATGGGATCAAGCCCATTCGTAGAGGTCGAATGTAGTCTATAGCTAGTAATGCTGTTTCCTCTGCTTCGACTGTGTCTGCGATTGGTGATATCGTCGTTCTCATCATTATGATCGGAAGACGCGGCATCCGGTAGGTCCATAATCTCAGGCCCAAAGCTCACCTTTCTTTTCGCGGTATAATTTTGCTTTTCTGGGACACTTGGTTTTCTATTTCTCTCATTAGCGATATTGACTTCGCTGTTATCGATAGTCAGACATCTAGGTTGTCTATCGTCCTGCACATCGGTAACCAAATCGAAACCATTAATAACGGAGTTTTTCCTAAATTCAAATGAAGTCGACTCACTTGCACGTCTGGAGACATAACTTTCGCTACATTTTCTATCTCTTGTTTGTTGTGTATTCCTTAAGCTTACTACGCTTTGAGTACGCCTTCGTTCCTCAGCTTCGTACTTACAGTTGCATCGAATGGCGTGTTTAAAAGCTGTTCTAAAATTTCTATTCAAAGCAGCGTAAACGATGGGATTTATAACGCTGTTTAATAGCCCAAGGAAGTTTCCTACAAACACAAAGACGTCCGGTGCCTCGTAGTTCTTCGACGGAGGGAAGATATTCAGAAGTTTATTGATAATATAAAGCAGCCAAGAAAGAGCGAATAAAAGTACAACTGAGAACAGCATCTTGATGATTTTCTTTTTTTCGTTGTTGAGTTTTGCCTTTCCTTGCATCGTCTGGGCTCCTGGTGGCTCGCGTTTGTAAAGTCTGCACCCAATGACTAAATACAAGACAGAGATCTGTARGAGGAATAGGAAATAGCAGGATATTCGATACATTTGATAGCGATGTAATTCCTGTTTAGTGTCCCACGTCTCGACACACATAAATGCGTCTTGCCCCTTGTATTTCATCGGTACAACGTCATGATGAAGCAAGGAAGCAAAAAGAAGAATCGGAGACACAAACCAAATAGCAGCCACTAAAAGTTTCGCTCTCTTTATAGTCATAATGGTCTTCATTGGAAAGCAAATCGAGACGAATCGATCATAAGAGATGGCTAATAGACTCAAAGCCGATGCCATCACAGACGTATGCACCAAGTATGAACTTATCTTGCACACAGCGCTACCAAAGTGCCATACGGGCCAAGTTAACACGTTGTAAACGTAAAAAACAGGCATGCATATAGCGGTTATGAGTAAATCTGCACAAGCCAAGCTGGCTATRAAAAAGTTCGTACTTGAGTGTAAGCCACGATTGCAGACAACGACAATGACTACAAGAAGATTTCCCCAACTTCCAACTGTTATGGAGATGATATTTGCAAGGCTTAATGCTATAGCGAGTCCTACAGAATTTCCTGGCGAGTCACTCTTCGTAGAATTGTTAATCCATGTTGAATTGGAATCTGTTAAATTTGCCATCCTCCTTGAAAATATGTTTTTAGACTTTCGGCTCCATAAAACTCTTCATATGCATCTTTCCTCAACGATTTCGGCTTTATTTATGGCCAAGGAAATCCTGTTGGTTCACTTCAAACTCCTCAGCGATATTTATCCAAAACCTTCAGCAAAAAAAAAAAAMAACAACAGAAAATTGATTCAATTACTAAATTTGCGTGGTTCAACGTCTAATAAGAATAAAACAATAGAATATCAAGGGTTTCAAGTATAAAAGTGGAAATTATAAGATTGATATCCAACGTCGTTGGCGTTAAAACATAAAATTACTGATTACTGCCGGCCTCGGAATTTTTTTTAAGAGCTTACATCAATAATTTTGAATCGTATTTTCTTAATTATACCTCGGTTAACTTCAATAAAGATCGCTTCGATTCCCAGACAAATCTCAGACGTGCGCGTCTCTATTTAAACATTCTAAATCAACATCACAAAATTAATGAAATGTATCTCCAACACGTCGTCATAGCAACTGAAGTTTTTTTTCTTTTTTTCCTCCTTTTTTCTCTTTCTTTCTTTCTTTCTTTCTTTTTTTCTTTTGTGTGTGTGTGTGTGTGTATGTCGTGGTTGTTGTTGTTTCGTATTTTGTTGTTTTTAAATCAGGTGTGGATTTGGTCTCGAGTTACGTGCGAGCAATTTTTGATGAAAACCTTTCGCTTTATAGTATTTTACGATCGTTTTAGTACCCTAKTGCCATACGTCTCCATAGGAATTGAAAGTGAAAGTTTTTTGGGTTTTTTTTTGGCACAAAGTATTTTAACAGCAACGCCGTGGATTTGATCTCAAGACACCTGCGAAACCTTAGTATTTAACGATCATTTTAGTAAATCGCCGAAAGAAAATGTAATGAATCTTTTGCCATAAGACCATGATTTGCCCGCGGGTTTGCGCAAGAGGCCACTGATCGAACACACGCACAAGGAAGTCGTAAAAACAGCTTTTAAGAAAAATTAATCGAAGTGGTTTTYGTCTAAGAAAGGGTTTTGGAAAAATGACGTCTGCTGTCATACTACGAATCTTAAAATAATCAGCTCTGTCTTTATATCAACACGAATAAATATTGACAAAAACGTTGATTTTYCCCTTTTTAGATTGTATGGAATTACTCCTATTTTAGGTCGTTCTGTTTAAAAACTCAAAGTGATTTTTTGTGTAATTTTCAATATCCCGAMGGTCTTTGAATAAGCTTGGAAGCTATCTCAACACAAGACAAAACGAAAAGTTTTCCAAAAGYGGCGTGAAAAAAGACAAATCCTGACTGAAATACGTACTTTCATCATGATCTATTTGATTTAAGAATACCGGAATCATATAACATTGAAATCGTCAAATTTATGCATAGTACGACTTAAATGATGTCTCTATCATTGGAGGTTCTTAATCTTGCAAGCTGGCCAATTATTTTTTTAAATCGACAAATTGTACATTTTTTGTAAACTGTAAACATCTTTGACAAATAAAGACATGAATAAGAAATATAACTATCCCCTTGCAACGTGATGTTACAATTTCGTTTATTTTTTTATTTTTCTTCGTGAGTCTTCTCTTCTCTTCTCGTCTCTTCTCTTCTCTTCTCTTCTCTTCTCGTCTCTTCTCTCTTTTTCTTTTCTCTTCTCTTTCTTTTTCTCGCAAAGCCTTTTCTTTTCTCTTGTTCCTTTTCTAAGAGCAACAAATACTACCAGCAAAGCAAGATATCCATGAAACGGAGCACTGATGGGGAAAGGATGAAAACCGGCTTCTGCGTTCTTTAAGACTAACTACTAGGTCAAGAAACGACMGATGTAATGAAAAATATCTTAGCATTTTCTTTACACTTTGAAGACATATCATACTTTGACTAAAAAATCTTCACGGAAGTGAGARCTAGTAATTTCACCTCAAACTGTACGTGATATACGATGAAAACGGTTCCGAGTAGGGAGAAAAATTTATAACGATGCTCTCCCTACTCGGAACCGTTTTCATCGTATTTTACTTAAAACTGTCAGACCGATATGGTTTACTGTACGTGATGTTTGTTCCCTTTAATTGCAGTATTTGTATTCTATATTTGCGCCTCATATTGAATGCCTGGTTATCTAGACTCACGTTCTCTTTTAAGTCTTTATTCAACCGGCTTTTAGGGATTATGCTATTGTRCATATTTGTCGGTGATCGGCCAATCCGATTCTATAACAAATGTTTCAAATTGTATACACCGGAATTTCAAAAAACGTTATCAGCAGGGCTAGGCAATATTAGGCGAAAAGTGATAGGAGATAGGTCATTACAAGATCCAAGAATAGCTGGAATGACTTGTGTTTCTGCTTCTTATTCTCGTCAAGAACATCAGTGAACCTTAGTAATCATGAATGAGAAGATATAACTAGCTAAAAACTAGYGTGAGCTGCGTCGGTGTTTCTAATGAAACAGTAATGATGAAAAGGTAAATTATACACCGTGAAAAGATGAAAAAAACTTACTGACGTTTCGGACGCTAGTCCTTCGTCGGAGTAAAAGAGGAAAGTTTTTTCATCTTTTCACGKTGTATRATTTACCTTTTTATCATTAGTGAACCTTAGTGTTGAGACTGATTCGATGTTCTTTGTATAGTATTCAACGAAACCATTTCCATATCGCCGAATGACTATCATTAATTGAAATAGGTGAATACAATCGACACTTTTACTGTCTTTTAACCTGAAAGCATGTAATTATAGCTTGTAAACCTGTCGCGTCTGCCAGCTGACTTTTTTTAGAAAATTCTTTTTTCTGGCAAAAAGAGTAGCTCATTTTCAATTCTATAATTCCTTCTCGAAAAATATTATTGTATAAAATATACAATGATATATGATGTACAATTTTAAACAGACCAAAGAGCTATGACGTACGTATGTATGACGTAAATCTATTGCATAATATTACGTAAGCATGAAGTGAGGAAAAGAGGTGCAATACTTTAAATGAGCCTTCAAACAAARTCGACTTGACATATACAAACTCGAATATTAGAGTAAGCTAATTTTAGGACAATAGATCATTTGCCAAAATGGCGGCCGAACATTGAAATGAGTTAAATTAAAAAAACAATACGAGCACTGAAAAGAACACCTTTACTTTATTAGCCCYATGAAGAATCATTATCTCAGGTGTTATATAGGCCGAGAAAACTTAGGTTGAAAATTGACAAGAATTTACAGACGTTTCTATGTATACCCCCAGATATACAAACGTCTGTAAATTTATCAATTTTCAACTTGAGTTTTCTCGGCCGATATAACACCTTACATAATGAATCTTCTTGGAGTTACTAAAAATAAGGATGCTTTTTCCAGTGCTGGTGTTGGTTTTTCTCTCAGTTTAATTTTAACTAAACCGAATTCATGGACGCCATTTTGGCAAAGGGTGTCTATATTACAATCTAAACGKTATTCATTCCTTTTTATCATTATTATTTTACATTATTATATTTCAATAAAGATCGATTTTACTACAGTTTTCGATATTCTGCGCGCGACCCGGTACCAATTGCCACTGCAATGAAATTTTGATTTTTATAATCAGTCGGTAACTTTTATATTTATGACCATAAGAGTTTTTATAGGTTGTCATGAATTTTATGTATTCCAAAGAAAATTGTATTTTTRGCAATAGCGCAGCGCACTGATTCTAAAAATAGCTTAAATAGCGGATTCGGACAAACATTGCATTCTGTTTAACCGCTACGAGGATTATACGAACCGATTTTATTATTTTTACTTAAAGTTACAATAATAACCCATGTAAACTAAGATCAATTGCGATCGGCTGTGAAAATTATMTGCTGAAAGTAAACTTTTTTTTTCGCCTTTGYCTTCGTTTTTATGACGTCACGGTTGCGCTGCGCTATTTATTTTGCAAAAAAATGAATATATTTTCCATAATTTATTTGCTTCTCGAAAATTTCATCTAAATTGGGCTCCCTGTGGTGACAATTCTATCATCGATCGAGCTCAACGTCTAAACAATTTCAAAAGTTGACTTATTACGAGAATGTATTAGCCGGGTTTTCAAGAGTTTTCTTCAGTAAACTGTTGTTTGATTTTTATATAATTGTAAATAACGCTTATTTGAAGGCTCATTGATGTTGGTATAGTAAAAGATTTTCTTCAAGAACACTGCATAAATCACATATATGGTTGTATGCGTAGAGTGTTCTGTCGTACTCTGAAAGAATAGTTGCGCTTTTAAATACCTGTCGCAACTTCGTCRCAATAGTATTCTTTTTGTATCTTAATTCTAAAAAAAAACATAGCAAAAAATATAACCCATTTCTCTTATATTATATGTGTTGGATTATGACTTTTTTTTTTCACGGTTAAGTAAACCTTCCTATATTAATAGCTGTGCTATATCTCTCTTTTCCTCTTTTACTCCGACGAAGGACTAGCGTCCGAAACGTCARTAAGTTTTTTCATCTTTTCACGATGTAAAATTTACCCTTTTATCATTACTGTTTCATTAGAAACACCGACGCAGCTCACACCAGTTTTTAGCTAGTTATCTCTTCTTATATCTCCCTATATACATCACAGTGGTCAACTATGTAAAGAAATTTACCATCAATCGCTATTATAGTAATAATATAATGGTTCCASACTGTCCAGTTCAGTTTTGAATGTATTGTATATCGGCTTAACCTTTATTTTATTTTATTTTATATAGATCTTCTCGACTTTTAATATAATTCTGCAGTGTGTTGCTAACCTTGAATCCACGAGTCGTCGCTGCGCTTTTATTACTAACCCTCTTCAAATGTGGTCAGTCTTCTTCTCGCAAGGTTTTTGCGCCAATGAAAAGGATCGATCAGCTAACGTCAACTGTTGGCCGATCCCTTTGAGCCACCCGGCATCTGTTATAATATGCTCTGCGTATTTAATATCCACAATCTATGATAACTCGGTTGTTCTATCAAAACAGCGTAATGATCCAGACAGTTTCGAGTCTAATTTGTGTATTTATTGAATAAGGAATTCGTCGATTTTACTTTAAACTAGGCATGTGTTACCTGGTTTTAGCACTATATACTAATCAAGATCGATATCTCGTGTGTGTTCTTTTATATCGCATGATCTAAATCTATCAGTCTTCTAGAAATGACTAGTTTTTTACTTCGGAGTTTTTTTCTTTTTTTTTTTTTTTTTTTTTTTTATGCTGACGAGAACGAGAGAGAGAGAGAGAGAGAGGGAGAGAGAGAGAGAGAGAGGAAAAGCTACAAGAGGGAAACGATGGAAGGATGTAAGGAAGTAAGAACTGAAGGACGGAAAAAAGAAAGGAAGGAGAAAAAGGCAGGGAGGAACGAAGAAAGAAAGAAACTGAAAAAAGAGCAAAGAAATAGAAAGCAAGAAAA